GGCAGGGAGCTGCTCAGCCGCCTCACCGGCCAGCACCAGGTGGACGCCTACAAGGTGGAGCAGCCCCGTTTCCCCTCCTCTGAAACTAACCCCCTCTCCACAGAGCAGCTTCTGTCCTAACCAGAACCCACACCTCTGGACCCTCTGCTCGTCTCTCTGCGCTTCCCTCCATCTCTTCACATAAACACGAACATAACAGCCCTCAACAGAGCTTTCAATCCCAAAAAACCCCTTTAAAAAAAACCCAAAACTGCTTTAAAACCCCCCAAAACAAATTTAAAAGCCGCCAAATACAGTTTTAAAGCCCCCCAAAAAAGCTTTAAAAGGCCAAAAATACTATTTTAAAGCCCCCAAAAAACAGCTTTAAAAACCCTCAAAACAGCTTAACCCCCCCAAAAAACAGCTTAAACCCCCCAAAAATAGCTTTTAAAGCCCTCAAAAGACAGCTTTGAAGCCCTGAAAAACGCATTTAAATCTAAATGCGGAAGCATAAGTATTGTAGGGTAAAAAAAAAGTAAATATTGCACATTGTAGAGGAAAAAATGTTTTATTGTAAAAAAAACAAAAAAAAAACATTTAGGATATTGTAGGGTGTAAAATTCCACATTAAAGATAAAGAACTGTTAATATTGCACAGTTTAGGGTAAAAATTATAAATATTGCCTATTGTGGGGTAAAAAATGTATACATGTAGCACATTTTAGGCAAAAAATTTAAATTTGTATGTATTATGGTAAAAAAAAAAAACTATACATTTAGCACATTGTAGGCAAAAATAGATACATTTTGCATGTTTTATGGTAAAAACTGTCAATTTTTTATATTGTAGGATGACACAAATGTAAATGTTGCACATTCAATCAGCCCTAAAGGTCTCAGGTCTAATGCAAAATTCACTGTCTTTCATCATGAGATTGATTATAAATAAAATATATCATCCTCAACTGATACATTAAACACAAGGAAGTCTTTTGGTTGCAGGATTTGGGGGTGAATGTCACCATTCACCTTCCCTGAAATCTCACTGAAATTCGTCAAAGCCGAAAACAAGTTAATTATCACACTGGAGTGTGACAACAGCCTTTAGGCTGCTGACCTCAGTCACGACTCGTGTTCAGACTGGTTTTGTGTTTCTTCAGAGGGAGTGCGTCCTGAGCATCGCTCAGTTCCTGCAGCAGAACCCCCGAGCCTCGCAGGCCCAGATCAGCGCCCAGGTGGAGAAGAGCGTGGTGGTTTTCGCTGCCCGGGTCAGAGCCCTGGAGACGGCCCGCTTCTTCTGAGAGGAGCTGCTCACAGCTGTGTGCTTTTTGTCTTTTAAGTGCATTCCGTTTCAAGATACTGTGATTTATTTTGTTTATATTGGACCCAAAAACTTTGTATTCTTTTGAAACTTTTAATTAAAACGCTTGAAACGTTTATGTTGTGGTTGGTTTTATTTCACTCCTTTGATTTAATTTAAAACGTGAAGTAAAACATTGTGAATGTGTTAAAGCACACAGATTACTCAATATGGAAACCAGCTTTTTATTTTGTTGGTGAAGATTTGGATTCACTTAAACTTAGACATTCAGTTTGTTGTCATTGATGTCCAATTTTTTTTATAATCTAATAATATGCTATAATATATTTTTAAATATATAATTTTTTTACCGGTATTGTAAGAAAAGTAATTTTGTTAATGTTTAGGGCAGAAATTCTCCTTAAGAAACGGGAATAGAAACAAGATTTCCTCCTGTCGATCTTATTGGGTCAATTTACCGGAAGTCCCGCCTTCGTGTTTGTCATTTGCCTCGTTATTGGGTATCGTAACCCTGACGTCACAGAAGCGTGCTTTCTGATTGGAAAGAAATTGGCGGGGGGGAATGTCTCCCCGGTTTGAAAAATGAAAACACGAGCTTCTGAGTCAGTGATGCGCCCGGTTTGTAGTTAAACTCCCGAATAAACCGAAGAGTGAAGTCGTTTAAAAGAAAGCGTAAACTTTGGAGTTTTTCTACCCGGATACAGAACACAATGGACCGCAGTCGGGATGAGCCTGAAGTCTCAGAGGTTTCGGAGAAGCTGGAGAAGTAAGTTTAGCTTAGCCGCGGAGCTATGGAAGCTAATGGTTAGCATCCCTGCTGCTAACCTCCAGCTCCTCACACCCATCAGAAATAAGTCCAGCTCAGACCCACACTGTGGTCTAAATAACCACATTACTGTGATCTGACAGTTAAAATAAAGTTAGGATTTCCAGAAACAAACCATACAAACTTTAAGTGGTCTTTTCTTTATGCATTTTCCTGCTGCAGAAGACTATCAGTCTCAGTAATTAAGCATGTACTCCTAAATAGAGTCTTTAAACAGTAATATTGTGATGAAAGTGTTTAATTTTGAACCATTTTTTTTGTCTCGGCAGGTGTTTATCCATGGACGCAGACAGCAAAATGGAAAAATACAACAGGTATTTATTTTATGTGAAGAAAGATCAAAAGAACCTTTTTCTTTGGGATCTTGCATGCTCAAACTACAGTAACACAACCAGTTCTGTTTCTTTTTACATGTTTTAAACCATGTTTATTATATAAATAGGCAGAATCTGATCTTTATCTTTTTCTCTCTTTGAATAAGTAAAATACATCCTGAAACACTAAATGTGAAATACACAAAGCTTGAACTGTATCTCACATCATAATAAATATATATCATATATACATGTTTATATACTAATATTTAACCTAGAATTTGTCTAGTTTGTTTTTAATCCCCTGGTTTGAATCAGATATTTCCAGTGTTTTGATTTGCTGTTTTATCTTAAATGAGCAGTGATTCCCTTTTATGTTTTGCTTACACCTCCGGGTGGGTGTGAATAAAGCCCAGTAAAGTTCTTCCCTTTATCTTCTTTCAGACTAATATCCGATGGGAAAAGTGTGGCTAAACAAGGGGACATCCAGAGAGCTCTGGAGCTCTTCAAACTGGCATACAGCATTCACCAAACCCCCAAACTGAAGAGCAGGATACAGAAGATCGAGGAGCTCCTGGCTCAGAACGACGAGGAGGAGGACGAAGACGACGAGTTTGTCAATGTGAACAACAGTGGTTTAATGCTTTATAGAGAGCTTCACGACAAGCTGTACGACTACCAGCGAGAGGGGGTCTCCTTCCTGTACGGCCTCCACAGAGATGGGCACAAAGGGGGGATTCTGGCAGACGACATGGGGCTCGGGAAGACCATCCAGATCATATCGTTCCTCTCTGGCATGTACGACAGCGAGCTGATAAAACACACTCTGCTCATCATGCCAACATCGCTCATCACAAACTGGATCAAGGAGTTTGCCAAATGGACTCCTGGCATGAGGGTGAAAGAGTTTCACGGCATCAGTAAGGCGGAAAGGAGCAGGAGTTTGGAGAAAGTTCAGAGGAGAGGCGGCGTCATCATCACCACATACACCATGCTGATGAACAACTGGCAGCAGCTGTCCTCCTACCACGGACAGGAGTTCTGCTGGGACTATGTGATCCTGGACGAGGCTCACAAGATAAAAAACACATCCACCAAAACAGCCAAGAGTGCCTATGCCATCCCGTCCAGGAACCGGATCCTCCTGACAGGAACTCCGGTCCAGAACAACCTGAGGGAAATGTGGACTCTCTTTGATTTTGCTTGCCAAGGTGCTCTCTTGGGGACGGCAAAAACTTTCAAAACAGAGTATGAGAACCCCATCACTCGAGCCAGGGAGAAGGACGCCACCCCAGGAGAAAAGGCTCTGGGTTCACGGATGTCCGAAAACCTCATGGCCCTAATAAAACCCTACTTCCTGCGTAGGACAAAGTCTGAAGTCCAGAAAAAGAAGACGATGGTCAAAGAAGAACCCTCAGGTAAAAAGGACAAAACAGACTCTGGAGCAGTTATGCCCAAACTGACCCGAAAGAACGACCTGATTGTCTGGACCTACCTGAGCGCCGTCCAGGAGGACATTTACAGGCAGTTCATCGACTTGGACCACATTAAGGAGCTGCTCATGACTTCGAGGTCCCCTCTGGCTGAGTTGAACATCCTGAAAAAGTTGTGCGACCACCCGCGACTCCTTTCTGCCGGGGCAATAGCAAAGCTGGGGCTTGAGGAAGACGGCCCGCAGGGCGATGGTAGCGAGGCCAACGCCAACGGCATCACCAACATCCCAGACGATACCCTGATATCAGAGTCTGGGAAGCTGGTCTTTCTGCTGGCTCTGCTGGAGAAGCTCAGAGAAGAAGGCCACCGCACGCTGGTGTTTGCGCATTACAGGAAGGTCCTGGACATCATTGAACGCATCCTTGGCAACAGGGGCTTCAAAGTGCTGAGGCTGGATGGCACAATAACACAGCTGGCAGAGAGGGAGCGGCTCATCTCCCGCTTTCAGGAGGACCGGCGCTACTCCGTCTTCCTCCTCACCACTCAGGTGGGTGGAGTCGGCATCACCTTGACGGCGGCTGACCGAGTGGTCATCTACGACCCCAGCTGGAACCCGGCCACCGACGCCCAGGCCGTGGACCGCGCCTACCGCATCGGCCAGACCCAGAACGTCGTCATCTACCGGCTGATCACCTGCGGCACTGTGGAGGAAAAGATCTACAGGCGGCAGGTCTTCAAAGACTCCCTCATCAGGCAGAACACCGGCGACAAGAAGAACCCGTTCCGCTACTTCAGCCGGCAGGAGCTGAAGGAGCTCTTCACTCTGGAGGAGCCCAGGTCCTCGTCCACGCAGCTGCAGCTGCAAGCTCTGCACTCCAGACACCGGCGGACCGACCCGGCCCTGGAGCAGCACATCGCCCAGCTGCACGCCATGCACATGTTTGGCATTTCAGACCACGACCTCCTGTTCTCCCTCGACGTCCACCACGACGAGGCCCCCGAGAACCCGGAGGAGCACAACTACATCGAAGGGCGGGTCCAGAAGGCTCAGGAGCTGGTGAGGGCCGAGTGCCAGCTGCAGGTGGGCAACCATTAAATACTCTAAATGTTATACATTTGTGTTAATATACTATTGAATTAAGAAGTGGAGATACAGAAAACTTGGTTTTGAATCTCGGAGACACTGATTGTGCCATCTTTAATCTTACAACACAATCAGAACGTCAAATTCTCTTTCCTCCTTCAGAAACCCTTGAATGAGGATAGATAAATAGATGGAAAAATAGATTATCTTCTATAGATACATAGATAGATAGATTATCTTCTATAGATAATAGATTGTAAATCTACCTAGAGGTTCATGAGGCTTCAGTTATGGAGGAGAAAGTGACTGAAAAGATCCCTTTATTTCCCAGATGAGCCTCGGCAGGAAGGACCTCCGGTTCTTGTTTTTTCTCAGTTTGAAAATGTGTTATGGTTGCGTTTTTCCTGCAGATGCAGCTGACGGAGAGCATGGCAGCAAACACAGAGCCGGCCTGGCTGAGACAGCCGCCGGACTCCAGCAGCAGAGAGACGGCACCCGAAAGGAGGCCCAGAAACCCAAGACCCAGTCCTTCACTTCCACAGCCCCACGACGCCAACCGGTCACCTGTCGTGCTGGACCTTGACCAGTCCGGTTCTGGAGAGGACCAGCAGGACACTGGGGCTGGAGTTATTGACCTGACCTCAGACTCTGAGGACGGGGCAGCTCCTGGCGCCTCTTCTGAGGAGCTGGGGGATAAATCTGAGAGGTCTGGGGCTGAATTATCCTCTGGACCTGACGGCAGCCCTCTACAGGTTTCAGCCACCCAGCAGCTAAATGGGACCTCACACTCTGAGGTGGACTTGGACCTGATCCCAGCCCCTCAGAACAAAGGCGCGTCCATCCTGCAGCAGTCTGACTCGAACGCCAGAGCAGAGACCTCCAGGACCAGCGTGGACCTGGACTCCTTTAGGGGGAACTTTAACCTGCAGTTGGAGGACAGCGGGGACGAAGTCCTGGAGGACGCCGACACCGAGGAGGATGAGCAGAAGCTGCTGTCTCAGCTCCAGACCAACGGCAGCTTCAGCATCCGCCGCTCGCTGTCCGAGAGCCTGCACAGGCCGGGTGGGTCCAGGGACCGGTCCCTGGACATAGACCAGTCTGTAAACCATTCCCAGGACCAGTCCATGGACCAGTCCCTGGAGCACTCCCAAAACCAGTCCGTGGACCAGAACCAGTCCAGGGACCAGGCCCAGGACCAGTCCCTGGACCATTCCCAGGACCAGTCCCTGGACCATTCCCAGAACCAGTCCAGGGACCAGGCCCAGAACCAGTCCAGGGACCATTCCCAGAACCAGTCTAGGGACCAGTCCATGGGCCATTCCCAGAACCAGTCTAGGGACCAGTCCATGGGCCATTCCCAGAACCAGTCTAGGGACCAGTCCGTGAACCAGTCCATGAACCAGGACCAGTCCCTGGACCAGTCCGTGGTGGCCACAAAGAAGAGAAAAGCTTTAGTGATTTACGACAGCGAAGATGAGGACGAGGAGCCCATGAACGGCTCTTTCCAGGTGCTCGGAGCCTCTACCCCCAAGTCTGGCTCCACGCCGGTCCGGTCCAGGAGGAGCGTCGGGGGCAACGGCTCAGTGGTCTCCCGCCGCTCGCTGCTCCGGTCCATCATCGAGGATGTGGACGAGCAGGAGCAGGACGAAGGCCGGGGGGGGGATGGAGAAGACATGGTCTTCATGACCTGCAACGAACCTGGACCAGAAGGAAGCAGAGAGACTTCAGAGGAGGAAGGAAGTCGGTCCGAGGATCCTGAGAAGGAAGAAGACGAAGAAGAAGAGGAAGGAGGAGAAGAAGAAGAGGAAGGAGAAGAAGAAGAAGAGGAGGAGGAAGCGAATGAAGTCATTGGTTTGACTCTTGATGAGCTGCAGCTGGAGGAAACCATGGGAGAGACTCTGAACACAGAGGGGGAGGGGGAGGAGGAAGAAGATGAGGGCTCTTCAGTGGAGGAGGTGGAAGCCTCCTCAGTGGAGGAGGAGGCTTCCTCGTCAGAGGGGGAGAAGCTCAGCAAGGGCTCCAGCTTCAGTCTGGAGGAGTCCACCGGGGACCCCGAGCTGGCGTCCGGTGAGAAGATGGATCAGTTTACCGCCGCCGAGCCGGAGAGCTACGACTGGCTGGTCAGCCAAGGGAAGGAGTGCTTCAGCCAGTCCAAGCTGGACGCCGCGCTGGACTTCTTCCTGAAAGCCATCGACATCAAACCGGGAGACCCCGAAATCCAGTTCATGACCATCCAGCTGTACCGGCAGCTGAGCCAGAGACGGTAGAACCAGAGCCAGAGGTCAGAGGTCAGCAGCTCCACCCAGACAGGACTGAATGGACGCTTGAGCCAGAAGAAAGCCGCCACGTTTGGGGGCCTCCTGAGGAGCTGTGAGCTTCAGATCTCTGATGTTCTACTTTAAATCTGGATTCTACAGACATCTACCGGCTCAGGTCACTGATGGACTCCCCTTCCCCAGAAAACCAGAGAAACCAGTACGGGTTTGGTTTTGTCATCTGGGGGCGCCTGCAGAAGCACTGAGCTGTAGTTGGTGGTGGTAAATTAGGGGTTTCGGGCATTTCCCGTTTCTGTAGATGTCCCTGGACACGCTGGCACTTTAACGGTCGTCCAAGAGCTGGAGCTCGCCCGCTCCTTTTCTTTAAACCTCCTGTTGTGGTTTTTCTGTCTCTTTTAATGTCTTTATGGTTAAAATGACCCACCTTTATTGTTTTCTCTGATTCATAAAAGCGGTTTGATCATAATTAACCAGCAGAAACTGGATGGGAAAATGCAGCTTTCAGCTTTCTTTGTTATTCTGGAGGTTGAGATGATCAAGAAATGATTTTATAGTTATTACAAAAAATGTTTCCAAAATAAAATAATAGAAAAGCTTTCATTGGTCTCCTTCGTGTCTGAGCCAACAAGAAGTTTCCTGTGCGCATTTGAAACGACTAACTGTTCAAGTGATAAAACCAATTGCAGCTTGTGACTGAAATGTTAAATAAAAACTTACAGAATAAACTGTCTGAGGTTTAATGTGTGGGTGAAATTTGTCTCTTTTGGGCTTCATCCTGAGAGTTTTACTGTGGTGTCACTTATACAACAGACAATATCAACTGAGCTGATTTATCTAATTTTCAGCACTTTTCAGTTTAAAACCAACTTTAAAAGAAGCTTTAGGTGGAAGAAAACATTACTAAAACTAAGTTAATCAGATTAAATTTAGAATTAAATCAACTGTACATTAAACATATTTTAATAAGGTTGAATGAAGAACATTACATGTTTAAGATAGATTTATAAACCCAATAAACAGAAGATTTACTTTCCACTGTTCTTAAATTTCGAGATACATTTTTTGTGATATATTTCTTTAGTTTCAAATTATTTTATTTCCCTTCAAATGATAAGTTATAAGAAATAAGTTATTTTGAATGGAAGCTATTTCTATTTTGGTAATGAACAAATAAACTGTTGAAAATTGAATCAGTTCAGACCCATCTGAAGCCTTTCTCTTTTCCTCCATTTTTTTCCCTCCTGAATTCAAACGGTAAGCACAAGAAAGACAGTTACTAACGGCCTTCCCGCCTCTCCAGCTCAGCCAATCACAGCCAGGGACAAACGGTTTTCGCGCCTCAGCCAATCACAGCCGGGTTACAGCGCAGCCACATTTCCATCCGG